GTCAGTGATGTGAATAAGCAGTAGGGAAACGTAACTCTAGGAAGGAATTAGAATGAATACTTGGGAGTCTAGTGGTTAAAGCCCCAGGAGACTGTGAGTTCTAGTTCCACTTTATGGATGAAAGCCGACTGGGGGACTTTGGGCCAGTCACTAGGAGATTGTGAAGTCTACAGTTGTTGTTAGTTGTGAAGTCGTGTCCAACCCATCGCGCGACCCCATGGACAATGTTCCTCCAGGCCTTCCTGTCCTCTACCATCTTCTGGAGTCCATTGAAGCTCACGCCTCCTGCTTCAGGGACTCCATCCAGCCACCTCATTCTCTGTCGTCCCCTTCTTCTCTTGCCCTCCATCTTTCCCAGCATCGGGCTCTTCTCCAGTGAGTCTACAGTAGTCCCACCTTAGACATAGACATGAAAGCAGGCTAGGTGACTTTGGGTCAATCACCAGGAGAGGGTGAGTTCTAGTCTCACTTCTAGGTCTGAAAGCCAGCTGGGTGACTTTGGGCCAGGAGACAGCGAGTTCTAGTCCTGCCTTAGGCACGAAAGCCGGCTGGGTGACTTTGGGCCAGTCACCAGGTGACTGTGAGTTCTAGTGTTGCCTTAGTCAGGAGAAGCTGGCTTTGGGCCAGTCACGCTCTCTCAAGCCAACCCGCCTCACAGGGTTGTCGTGTGGAAAATAGCAGGGGAGGAGCATTAGTATGTTCACCGCCCAGGAAATACTCCTGTCAGGATTGGCGGGGTTCCGGTTTACAGATGCATTACTGACAAAACGGACAGGGCAAGCGACTGCATATAAATAGGCAGCAAAGCTCATGTTGCCTCATGCTGATGATGTTAGCTAGTTGGGTGATTGAAATGTCTGCAAGCCAACACACCAAGCTCAGCCAGCACCTAGGATCCCACCGTCCTCCTCCTCCTCCTCCTCCTCCTCTCTGCAAACCCCACTCCCTTCTAGAACTGATGATGTTACCTAGTTGGGTAATGAAACGTCTGCAAACAAACCACCAAGCTCAGAGAGCACCCAGGACCCCACATGTCTCTTGGTTCCTGGATTAACCAATATTATGTTCTCATGAGCCACACGCGCTAATCAAAGCAGGCTAGGTTCACCCCTTCTGCAAAGCCAGAAAAGCCCAAGTTAGTGGGGGGGGGGGGTTAATCAAGATTAATATATTTGGGTCAATACAGTCAGTGGGTGATGAAATGTGTGGAGAGAACCCCACCAACGAACAGGATGAGAAGATGGCTGGAGCTTCCTTTACCTGGATATACCGTTGCTGCAGTGGGACCCCTAAGTGCTGGTTGGGGGTCTTTGGAGCCGGGCTGAGCCAAAGCAGGGACGGGCTTAGGGTGTCCAATGCTTAGAGCACCTGTTTCCAGGGGGGGGGAAGGGGAGAGAAAAGACATTAATTGTAATGAACTCCAACTGCTTCCATCCATGTCACATCTGGACAGGAAGAAGCGGTCACCATGATGTGAAAAAGATGTTGAGACTCTAGAAAGAGTACAGAGAAGAGCAACAAAGATGATCAGGAGACTGGAGGCTTAAACATATAAGGAACGGTTGCTGGAATTGGGTATGTCTAGTTTAACGAAGAGAAGGACGAGGGGGGACATGATAGCAGAGTTCCAATGTCTCAGGGGCTGCCCCAAAGAAGAGGGAGTCAAGCTCTTCTCCAAAGCGCCTGAAGGCAGGACAAGAAGCAACGGGTGGAAACTAATCCAGGAGAGAAGCAACCTAGAACTAAGGAGAAACTTCCTGACAGTGAGAACAATTAACCAGTGGAACAACCTGCCTCCAGAAGTGGTGGATGCTCCAACACTGGAAGTTTTTAAGAAGAGACTGGACAGCCATTTGTCTGAAATGGTGTAGGGTTTCCTGCCTGAGCAGAGGGTTGGATTAGATGACCTCCAAGGTCCCTTCCAACTTTACTATTACTATGGATCATCGCACAGTCAGCCAGATGTTCAGACTGGATTTGGCATTCTGTCTACCTATCGAGTCCTTCCCAAGGACCTGGGATAGGCAGATGTGGATGTTTGATGGTATTACAGATCTCGTCGCAGGATGGAAGCAGTTCCTAGTAAGGCCGCCTTTTGCAATTGACTAATGGCGAATTTGTCAATGCCAATGGTGTTCAAATGGTGCTAGGTCCCTTCCTACTTTACTACTACTACTACTACTACTACTATTATTATTATTATTATTATGGATCATCGCACAGTCAGCCAGATGTTCAGACTGGATTTGGCATTTTTGTCTACCTATCGAGTCCTTACCAAGGACCTGGGATAGGCAGATGTGGATGTTTGATGGTATCACAGATATCGTCACAGGATGGAAGCAGTTCCTAGTAAGGCCGCCTTTTGCAATTGACTAATGGCGAATTTGTCAATGCCAATGGTGTTCAAATGGTGCTAGGTCCCTTCCAACTTTACTACTACTACTACTACTACTACTACTACTACTACTACTACTACTATTATTATTATTATTATGGATCATCGCACAGTCAGCCAGATGTTCAGACTGGATTTGGCATTCTGTCTACCTATCGAGTCCTTACCCAGGACCTGGGATAGGCAGATGTGGATGGAAGCAGTTCCTAGTAAGGCCGCCTTTTGCAATTGACTAATGGCGAATTTGTCAATGCCAATGGTGTTCAAGTGGTGCTCCAGTTGTTTTGGGAATTATTATTATTATTATTATTATTATTATTATTATTATTATTATTATCATCATCATCATCATCATCATCATCATCATCATCATCATCATCATTATTATTATTATTATTATTATTATTATTATTATTATTATTATTATTATTATTAAGATCACCTGGACAGCAGGCCCTCTTGCGGTCCTGCGGGGAGTCGGCCAGCATCAGCTCCTCCCCATCTGGGTTCTCAATGAGCATAGCTGTGTAGGGGGTCACGATGTGATGGTCCAGCGACATCTGCAAGATGGCCTTGGTGATGTTTCTTTTCAAGGAGGCGGTGGGAGCCACGTTTCTGGGGCAACATCAAAAAAACAAAGGTGAAGGCTAAGCCCAAACGCAGAAGATTGAACCGATAAAAGAGAGCATTCGTAGCTCGGGGTTGTTGAGCTGTGGGGTCCTGGGTGGTCCCCGAGCTTGGTCGTCCCTTCTTACCTTTCAGCCATGAGTTGGTTGACGGTCAAGTAGGCCCACAACTTTTCCGTGAATTTGGGATCGGCGTTTTTATTCTTGCTCAGGAAGTCATCCAGTCCCTCAACATCTGCCAGAATCTCCAAGATCAGTTGTGCATTGGACTGATGGAAAAACAAACACGAGCAGAGAAATGACCCACGTTTAAGCTAGCAGAGCCAACCTCAATCTTTTGGGCTTCTCACAATCTCCTAAAACGGTTACAGAGAGTCTTCGACTTACGGCCACAATTGAGCCCCCCCCCCAAATTCCTGTCGCAAAGCAAGACACTTGCGAAGTGAGTTTCGTCCCGTCTTTCAATCTTTCTTGCTACGGTGAGTCGCTGCAGTTTTTAAGTTAGTAACACAGTGGTTAAGTGCATCCGGCTTCCCCAATGACTTTGCTTGTCAGAAGGCCGCAAAAGGTGATCGCGTGACCCCAGGACACTGCAACCGTCACAGGTACATGCCAGTTGCCAAGCGTCTGAATTAGGATCGCGTGACTTGGGGATGCTGCAGTGGTCATAAGTGTGAAAAAGGGTTGTGAGTCACTTTTTTCAGTGTCATTGTGTAGCGGAGGTGGGGTGAGAATGGGGCCAGCTGGGAGGCTTTGCAGGAGCCCTGCCAATGTGGCAGGTAGGAACTCCGGCAGCTGCCATGGGCGGGGCTCGGAAGAGGGAAGAAAAAGGAGGAGGAAGCCGATAGAAGGGAGGAAGAGAGAAGGCTTGCTGGAGCTTGCCGTTCTGATCCAGCTGATCGAAGAGAGAGTAAGAAGCTGGGGTTTTCGCGTTTGCTTTTTCTGCTTTGTTAACAGGCAAGCCGGACGAAAAGGGGAGGGATAGAGAGAGTGAGAGTAGTTGCTGGAGCTGTTTGCTTGAAGCAGGCCAGGCAGGGAGAGATAGAGGGTGAGAGTAGTTGCTGGAGCTGTTTGCTGGAAGCAGGCCAGGCAGAGAGAGAAAGAGAGTGAGAGTAGCTTGCCGGAGCTGTTTGCTTGAAGCAGGCTAGGTAGAGAGAGACACAGAGAGGGTGAGAGTGGCTGGTTGGAGCTGTTTGTTTGAAGCAGGCCGGGGGGGGGGGGGGGGGGGGGGGGGGGGGGGGGGGGGGGGGGGGGGGGGGGGGGGGGGGGGGGGGGAGAGAGAGAGAGAGAGAGAGAGAGAGAGAGAGGGGTAGGTAGGTAGGTGGGGAAAGGTGAAGTTCTATTATTTCTTTCTCTTTCGTTGCGGGCATGCCAGATGAAGAGAGGGAGAGAGGGTAGTTTGGGGAGTTTTAATTCCTTTCCCTTGTTTGAGTAAACAGGGAAAGTTAGGAAAGAGTTTGACATACATCTTTTAGTGGGAGGTAAGAGGTTTTTGTTTTATAGGATCAGCTGGGGGAGATAAAAAGGGATTACATGGAGTGAGGTCAGAGAGGGACGACAAGAGTAGACAAGGGAGGCTTCTGCTAGTGCCAGAGATTGACTGCCATTGTTTTAGGCAAGTTGTTGTCATCAAAGACTGATTAACATTGTTCTGGGCAAGTCGTTGCCATCAGAGACTGACCGCCATTGTTTTAGGCAAAGTTGTTGTCACCAGAGACTGACTGGCATTGTTTTAGGCAAAGTTGTTGTCACCAGAGACTGACTGGCATCGTTCTGAACAGGTTGCTGCTACTAGAGACGGACTACCATTGCCTTATGCCAGCTGCTGTTATCAGGAATTGACTACTATCTTCCTTGTAAGTTCTTATTGCCTGAGATCAACCACCATCATCCCACGTGAGGCACCGTCGAGAGAGAGAGCGACCATCACCGCCCCATCTGCGTGGCTGCCGATCGTGACTGAATACTACCGTGTTACGTGCTGTTAGGCAAAGGCGCCGATGTGAGAGACTTCCTTGGGCTGGTGGCCACTTGGAGGGGAGGTCGGGAGGGCCCGGACTTAAGTGGTCCCTACGGGGGTGGCGCTACAATTGTAACTTTGAACTGTCACTAAATAAATGATTGTAAGTTGAGGATTACCTCTGCTGTACTTTCTCAGGTTTTCCTGGAATCTCTCATCCAAGTTCTAACCTTACTTAGCATTTCATGATTAGCCAAGATAAATTATTGGTGTCACTTAAGTTGGTTCTCTGTAGCTAGAGGAAAAATATCGGCTTTGGAGAAGGACATACAGTCTCCTTCAGCCTGGAAGACTCGGGATTTCTCTAAAAAAGTTTGAGAAAAATCCCTACAATTTCACAAACTCATCATGTTCAGATACTATCAAGGTGGACTTACTGCTGTGGCTGTTATCACACTCTGTAAATGCTGCACATTTTCAGTGTCGACTTTTCCCGATACCACAATCTCTGACCCTCCAAAATAGTTCTGGAAGGTGCTCTGGGTTACATCGGACACGACTCCTTCGGGATAGTTGAACTCCAGTTTTTTGAGAAGTGGGGTGGAAACCTGGTTGTAGAATTTCTGCAAATTCAGGGGGGGAAAAGCCATAGACATTAGAAGTTTACTTCTGAAAGACGCTTGTTCTTGATGTGTGATATACAGGCAGTCCTTGACTTACGACCACAATGGAGCCAAAAACTTCCATTGCTAAGTGAGATAGTGGTTAAGTGAATTTTGCTTATTTTATGACCTTTCTTGCCACAGATGTTAAGTGAATCACTGTAGTTAAGTTAGTAACAAGATTCTCAAGTGAATCCGGCTCCCCCATTGAGGTTGGAAGGTCGCAAAAGGGGATCACGTGACACAGCAACCATCATAAATATGAGTCAGTGGCCAAGCGTCTGAATTTTGATCATGTGACCATGGGGATGCTGCGACAGTCATAAGTCTGATTTTTAAGTGCTGTATTAACTTTGAACGGTCACTAAATGAACTGTTGTAAGTCGAGGACTACTTCTATGACCCCCATTGAGCACAGGCGTAAAGGACACAGATATATCCCATTTCCTAAGGATCATAATCCATTCACAATAAAAATAGAGGGGGGAAAAAGTATGATGCAGGGGGAGAATGTCTTCGCAGGGGGAGAATGTCTTCAAGCAGAAATAATTTTGGTCCGAGGTTAATAAAAAGGCCTTCTCTATCAGAAGTCCCAGAAACCCTTCAATCATTAACTTTACAGATTTTTGTTGGCACAGCCTAAATGAATTAGGTCAAAATATAAAAGGTAGCCACCATCTGAAGTGGTGTTAAATTAGTGACCTAGAACTGTAATGGAGAAAGCCACCAAGGCATTAAGATACAGTAAATGGTATTTTGAGCTGAGAAATAGCATAGTTTATGTTTATGAAAGCCTGTCAAAGGTCAGAATAACCTGTTAGGTTAGGACCTCTCCTCCCCCCTTCCTTTACTTCACCAAGGATGGTGGAAAAGTCACCTTCATTTGGGAAGAGGTCTCTTGATTCCCAAAGATCCGTTGCGCGGCTCCATTGTTTTCAGTCGCCAACCTCTTCAGAAAATCATAGTCCACATCAAAGCCGATTCCAAGACAGAACAAGGAGATGTCATTCTGGATATGCTTCTTCACGTTTTTCTGAATCGTTGGCAGCTTTAGTTCTCCTGATATGAAGAAGAAAAAAGACAAAAATCAGGACATCCTTTCAGGATTGTCCTCCTACAGCAGCGGGGGTGTCCAACCTTGGCAACATTAAGACTTGTGGACTTCAACTCCCGGAATTCCCCAGCCAGCAATGCTGAAGGTCCAGCTCTTACCGACAGTTGGGTCTCCGTCTGAAACCAGTATTATCATGGAGACAGAACTTGGATCTAGCATCCCCAAAGTGTTGGCTTCATTTAAAATAAAGATGGCCCGGAGAAGGGCATCGTTGATGTTGGTTCCTGTTAAAAATTAAAAAGGCGACAATTTGTTTTTTTAAAAAATCATATTATTGTACTTCCATTGTTTATTTTTAATACATGAAGCCAGAGAAAGAGAAAGAGGAAGAGGAGGAGGAGGAGGAGGAGGAGGGGAAGGGGAGGGAGAGGGGGAGGCTAAGAGTAAGGGTAAGGGTAAGGGGAAAAAGAAGAAGAAGAAGAAGAAG